CCGATTGGCTATTTCCCTTTTTGGATTGTATCACTCGCACCAATAAGTGCACGCGCAACAATATGATGGTAGAAATGAATTAATTAGATGAACGGAATAGTGTTTGGAATAGACTTTTGCCAGTGGAAATAAAATTGAGCATGAAATCTAAGAATTTCTAGTCGTTTCTAAAAGATAGCTAATAAAGTATAGTAGCATAACAAAATAACAAAATGAGCAATTGCATGAAATATTAGGATTCTAAAAGATTGATCGACCAGAAAATTTTAGATGTGGTGTCGCGACTTATTGGAATAATAAGGACAGTATTTTAGCTATTACCATAAATTACGGCTAATTTTATGTGTGATTTAAATAGTAGAACCGATTACTTATAACTCTGGTCAAATTTGCAGATCGTTTGACCAATTCCGGAGTTTTATGATTCCAAATCTGGCCAAATGATCTGCAAATTTGACCGGAGTTATAAGTAATCGGTTCTACTATTTAGATCACAATCAAAATTAGCCCATATGAATTTTTCTCAGAACTAGGGATGTTAAATAATCTGACTTGTTTGGTTTTACAGTACAATTTATATGTAACCAACCTAGTCAAACTAGCTGGTCACATATAAATTGTACTGTAAAAACTAAAGTAGTTAGACTACTTATTATTTATACTTAAAACACTCAAGTACTTATAAATTAATATTTTATAGCTTTGTATAATGCATTTTATGATTACTTCAATGAACCAACATGTATATAATAAAACATAATAATGCAGGCTTGATAAAAATTTATAAAAGCAATTAGATGAACTAAAATTATTGTTATAAAATTTAGCAATATGTAATAAAAATAATTATGCTAATCAATAAAATATAAGATTTTTATAAGTAATAATTTTATTACTTATTTCTATTTCTGGTATATGTTTATTGACATATGTTAGGTTGTTCAATGTTGTTTTAAAAAAAACTCATATTAAAAAATATTTAATTAATTATATAATTATTATTGATTATTTAATAACAGCAAAAATAAGATATATATTTTTTTAATATAAATTATCAGATTTTTTAAAATTGATAATAATCATCTGTATGACTTATTATTAACAAAAAATTTTTTTCTTAAAAATTACTATAGTTATTTTTAAAAAAAATTTTTTATGATTCTATTCAAACTTACTAATATATATGTTTTTTTCAATTTTTTTTTATTATAAAATAAAGAAAACAGCATATTAATAAAAAATACAACTAAATTATTAATACTAAAACTAGTATAAAATAAATAAGAATTATAAAAATCTTAAAACTTTTCAAAAGCATTATCAATAATATAATAATATACTACAAAAAAGCTAAGAAAACTGTATTTTTATCATCTAATTTGTATTTTAAAAAAGAACAGAAAGATTACACTAAATGTATTAATGAACAAATTTATTAAATCAATTTCTGTATAAGTATTCATATAAACTATATAATAATATCTATAATAAACCATTTTATAATTAGATTGGTTTAAGAAAACTATTTATAGATGAAAAGTTTTGTGTAATTCATATAAATTAAACATATGCAAAAATAGGTTGAAATGAAAAGTGAAAAAACATTATTTGAAGCAAAAATTAAAATTTGAGATATTTGAAGATAATGATTATAAATATATTTAAAAGAAACTAAAAGAAAAATATAATGTTGAATATTTAATTTCAATATTTAGATTAAAAAGATTAGATGTAATAGTTTGAAAATGTTTTAGTATATACAGTCTTAGATATTTAGTTCAAATTCATAACAAGATAAATTCAAAAGACTATATAGAAATTCTTGAAACTTGTTATGTATTCTATTTAAACAATTTAATAAATATAATTAGTTAAAAAAATTATATGTTCCAAGATGACAATACTAAAATTTACATTTTCAAATTTACTAAGAAATAGTTTAATAAAAATCATATTGTATAATTTTTATAATCCTTATATAGTTTTGACTTCAATCCTATTAAATATTTGTAAAATAAATTAGAACATTATATACATAAACACATTTTTCTATTAAGTGATGAGTCAAAACTCTTCAATTTGTTCCAGAAAGAATGATTTAAAATCAATAGTTCAATTTTAAAAAATTTTGTTAAAATATATATTAATATATTCTTGTTATAATGCTGTTAATAAGTATTTTATATGGTATTAAATTATAAATAAAATTTATATATAATATATAGTTACTAAATAAAAAAATTCTGACTTGAATTAATAAGTAATATTAGACCTAGAACACATAATTCATGAGTTCTCAATTTCATTATAAGATCATTATCACATGATCATCAGGTCATGATTTTATCTTAACTATTAAGATCTCACTACATTTATGATGCCCATGCTTATAATAATTATAATGCATATATTGTATATATTGATTATAATCATTATAATCAATATATGTGATATAAGTACTATTATTATTATAAGCATGATAATGGATATCAGTACTCTAAAAATAGATAGAGTTGTGCTTATAAATAATATGTAATTTTGTTCTAGTAATAAAACAGATTTCATACAAATAATAAAAACAATAAACACCATGAATTCTGGGTTCTTCTATGAATAACTATAGAGAACCATTGTTGTAATAAAATTCTTACTCAAATTAGTAACAAATCCCACTCCTGTTAGTACAGTATTCCTGAAGTAGTGTGGAATACTACAATTCTTGAGAAAATAGAGTAATAGTCTCGACATAGTGCAGACTATCCAAGATAAGCCAGACCCGAATTGAAATCGCTCGCCAAATCTACACGCCTTTTTCGACAGAAAGCAATCCGATTGTTACATGAAGCCGACCTTCGATTAGTGACCGACTCACCGATTTAGGGCATCTCAGTAGTTTGTTGAGAATTCACAAATCAAAAACCTGCAAAAAAAAAAGATTTTTATATTGTTACCAAAAACATCTGGTGACTTATGTCAGGGGAGTGTACTAAGTGCACCGATGCTCTACGTATTTAAATTTCAATTGAAAAAATGAAGTCAAAATCAATAAACATAATTTAATTTATTACAATACCGAATATCTTAAGAAATAATGCATTTAACCATTATATAACTATGGCATATTTTATTACTACGTATCGGAGAAGGTCTAATAATTCATAAGTTATAATTCCCAGACAAAATTGTGTTCAATCATTAAATACAGTCAGACCTCTCTAAATGCAATGCAACAGGACCATATATAAAAATTTAGTCAAACGTGCACTTAGAGAGGCGTTGCATTTAGAGAGGTAAAAATCTATAGATGTAATATTAGTTGGCTAATAGAAGACGTGCATTTAGGGAGGTGTTTCATAGGACGTGCACTTGGGGGTGCATTTAATTTAAAATTTACCCAAGATCGAAATTCTAACTGATATGTTTCTTTATTTATTAGACCGCAATATACGAAATAATAGTTTAAATATTTAATTTCTACACATATCATTTTTAGGATCTGAAATCTATTTAAGTAGGCTTAAAATCAACTAAAGTTGATTCAAACATACTTGTGACGCAAACTGTAAATGGAAACTTATAAAAAAATTATTTAAGGTTAAAACGTTTGGATAGTAAATCGCTAGAAACAGCACGTAAAGGAATTTACTGATTTGTCCATGCTTAGCTATATGTAATATATATACTATAAGCATGATCTTTATGTGACTATACGCAAAACTGCATTTATTATTTCTCAGTCAATTTAGACATTCATTCGATTTTATTTCTGCTTGCGTATGTCGGATCGGAGACTTCCGTGTTAAATTAAATTATCATTATTGGTTCATATTAAAAGCAATACGTACTGTATTTAAAAAAAGAATTTGTAACTGCTGAATCATTGAAGCATTCAGTAAAGTAGTACTGTACGGCAGTAGAGACACACAAAATTATGCTAGATTTTGATCGTACGTACGGTTACTATCGATCTGTAATTTTCAATTTATAAGTAACCCTTTTTAATAGGGTAAGCGCTAGTATTGTCGTTTTTTGATATTCGAATTAGTAAGAAAAGTAACTTGGGTTCGACAAATTTTTTCTTTTACAAACTGTACATACTATAATGATTATATTAAAAAGATCAATTTCAAAATTTTTTATTTAATTTTTGAATAGATATATATTCAATAAAAGAGTTTGTTATAAGTAACAGGTATTAATTATATAATAAAAAGATCCGCAAATGAACTTAAAGTAAAAAATTTTATGCTTCTATTTGTAGATTTGAAACACCTCATATTATTTATCAGTTTTTTATACCAATAAAATGATATAATGACCTAGAAATAGAATAGCTAATAAGTGTAAAATAACATTCTTACTTGAATATTTCAGTCCGAAATCGATAATACCACTTGTACCAAAGACTTTTTTGTATAGTTCTATAATAAAAATATTTCTATCAAATAATGAAATAACCAAAATTTTCAAATCTTTTTTTTAAATGTCAAGAGTCTTGCTATGAGTGTTGTCAAAGGAAGATCTGTCATCGGGTTTTTAATTACATTTCGTTCTGAACTATTAAAAAATGGGTGCTGCAGACTGAAAACCTGGAAGTAAATATTTAAGTTTCATTGTAACGAACTTAATCCCTGAAACATTATATTGGAGATCAATACCAATATGTAATATCAGTGGTTAAGTTCGTTACAATGAAAACCTAAATATTTACTTCCAGGTTTTCGGCAGCACTCAAATCTGTGCTGATCAGATTTTTTCATGGATGAGTCCTGGAGTTTGGAACAAATATAACCGAAGGTTGTCTCTGACAGCACTCATATATAATAAAGTTTGCCGTATTATCTCGAATAACGCCCCGGGTGTAGGTTAAAAATTTGGCCGAATTAAAATTAATTTAGGCCGAATTAAGCTTAATTTTGGCCAAATTTTAACCTACACTCCGGGGCGTTATTTCGAGACAATACGGTAACAGGAAATAGTTTTTAATAAATGAAAATAACCTAATAACCTGAATTATTAAAGTCAAAATCAAAAATCTTGCTCTGATAAGATGTTTCTTGTTGCAGGTCTTTTAAACCATAGAATTATAGAATGATATTAAATAATGCTCATATTAATTTAAGGATTATGATAGTACGTAAACGATGCACCATGCATTTGGTGCGTCCCCTCTATATCTCAAAATTTTGACTATGAAACCGTCTATGGGGTTCTAATTAAAAAAAAAGATTCCTTATTAAATTTTACTATAAACTATGTTTTACCCTAACCTCTAACCTTTACCCTAATATTATAAAAATTCAATTTCAATATAAAAATCTTAAATTAATTACTAGGGCATCAAATGCATGGGTACGCCGTTTATAATTTTCCTTAAATGGATTCTCAAAAATTGTATATATATATATATAAATTACTTGTATCAAAAGCCACTATCGATCGTTTTTTCTTATATTCAATAGTCAAATTTTTATCTTCAAGGACTTTACAGTACATATCTTTAACAATATTATAAATTTCTTTGATTGTAGGCCTTATTGAGGGATTGGCTTCCCAACATCTATGAATAAGATCTTGCAGTTTACTTGGGATTTCGGGTAACATTGGTGGTCTCAAATTACACAAAACAATTTCAATAGCTAATTGTTCTTCGTAAGGCCTATC